TCTCAAATTGAAACCGCAATGTGTTCAATTTTTTAAAACGATTAAAGATATCTACAATGATCAAACATGATTAAAATCACTAATTTTTCAAACGAACTCTTCTAGTTGTAAACCTTTTTTTAACCTAACTTTTAGACCTTCGTTAGTTGATTTCTTTTTTCAAAATATAAATATAAAATTACTAAGGGCAAGTAATATATAAAATTTGGTCTATTAACTAGAATAAATATGATTCCAAGTATTTCTAATCAACATATAAAAATTCAAGGGGTCTTTTTCGGCACTTAAGATTATTTAAGCATTAAGATGGTAAAGTATCACACTTTCGTGATGAAAATATAATCATCATAAGGGCCATAAACTAGAGGCAGCAAATCGGTTCATTGTGCCAAAGTGGGGACCGTCTAATGCATTCTAATTCAAGAAAGGAAGATGATTACCTAAATTGAAAGTGTTATTAATTTTTAAATATGTATAATATTTTCCGAATTCAGTAGTTTATATCATTCAGATTTTTTTTTTATTAAAGATTCAGCTTTGAGGATTAATTAAAGAAATTATACATAGTGGATTCAAATTATTAGTAGACAAGATCCAAATTTGTAACAGTTTTTATTGGCACCTCAACTGAATCTTTTATTTTAGTATTCAAATCGTATGATATGAAAAAATAAATATTTATTTCACTACATTTTATGTAGTTAAAATAGTGTTACATTTTAAGTTCATTGAAATATTTGGTGATAGACTATTTTACGACTTCTTCATTCAAACCTTGTTTTAATTAGGTCTGGATTATTTTTTCAGTAAAAACAAAATAAAATGTCAATTTCATTCGAGTTCAATTGGTCTAGATTACCTTTTATTATTATTTTTTTCCGACAACAACTTTATTGATATCCAAAAGTTACAAAACTATTACATAAACTTTCGAAAACAAATTATTATATAAACATAAATATGTGACGATATAAACTAAAAAGTGAATATAATGATGCATTTTAAATGTTATTCACTAATAATAGTTTTAACCCGTCTTCTAATAATGATAACGATGGATTACCCT